CATATCCTATTGGTTTGGCAACGCGCAATATAAATCAACATTTTAAATGGTAGATTTCACAGTATAATTTTGATATTCAGACAGTCTAGGATGATTGATTTGTATGATTCACTTTTTGAAGTACACATAACTCTCGGATTTCAATCCGAAGTTTCCGCATTTATTTTATATTTCAGTTAGAACATGGTTACGCAATCCAAAAGCAGTTGATATAATACAAGCAATAATAGATAATGAAAATAATCTATTTACTATATGTCAATCAAATGGAAACTATGATGAGTTTTTGGAAATTTTTTATTTTGACGACGAAAACTTTAATCATGTTCAACATATTGATAATATTCTTCAAAATAATATTCTAAAAAAGATTATCACACTACCATCTATAGTCAACAAACATGTTATAAAAAAATCTAAAAAAAACACGAAACTTAATACCCTACCAGGATATTCTATTACTCATACAAAACAATATCAAAATAAATTAAAGGAAATGATAGAAAATTATAATAAAGAAAATAAAATGATTTCTATTATTTTAAATGAAAAGATGTATAATAAAGTAAGAAAACAACAAAGTATTCATATATTTGGATCCATCAAACTAGTTAATGAATTTATACAAAATTTTCAAAGTTTAGCTGATAAAGATATTTTGACAACATTCAAATTCAATTCAATGACATCCATTCAAGTAAATATTTTCTGTTTTAATAGAAACAAAACTTTGAAAAAATGGAAATATAAAATCCTTAACTCATTTCAAATTCATACTTTGACTGTCAAAACTACACTTGTGAAAAAACTAACTGTTTTTTTTTAATTTTATTTTTCATAGATATTTCATTTTACTTCTAATAGAATTCCGTGATTTGTTGTTGAAACCATCATGCATAGGCATTATGACCTGAGTACTATATTCAACTAGCAATCATTATATCATAATCAATTTATCACATCTTTTTTTTTTATTAAAATGCTCATTCGAAAATCCAATTTTACAGTTATTTCTAGTGAAATGTGATTAGAAACTACTTTGACATAGACGAGCTATAGATTTCGTATTGCTGATCTCTGTAATACAGAAAAAGTTATTGTATAGTTAATGACATCCAGTTAATAATGGCTTTGATCGACTTATTTTATTTAAAGACGTGTAAGTCTAAATGAATTCTACATAAAACAAAATTTCTATAATGTAAATCAAAATCTATTAGACTTTTTATTTTGAGGCGACACGTGTATATATACATCTATTCACATTAACTATTGACATTTGCATCCAGAATCACCATTAAAAGTATAAGGTTAATGTGATTCTGTGCCTAATCAGATTTCTTCGTAGATCTACATTAGTTTTTCTCCAAAATTAACTACAAGATCATGCGACTTGATAGGAACTCTTCAAAACTTATAGTAGTAATCTGAAGTACTATCGATTTTGATTTTAAAATAAAGCAGAGTTCAACATGGATCAATTTTTCGAGACTCGACGTAATCAATCCTGACTTGATTGATCCAAGTCAAACTCTGATATAAATTGATGAAATAAATAAAAAAAAGGCCGATCAACAAACGATATTTCGTGCTATCATTTTCAAAAACTAATCGTGACTTTGACTTTTTAATTTTATTCTTTCTTTAGGTGGAATATCTTACAAATATCGGTTCGAAAGACTTAAAAGTTATTGAAAAAGAATATGTTAAAGATAATGCCAAAATACGAATACGACATGATGAATTTTATGCACCAGAAAAACTCAAAAATGACATTGAACTTCGTATAAATTCTTTATTATCTTCATTAGAATCAATCACATTCGAATGTATGCCATTATACTATGATATAGCTGACAAAGCAATATTACATTTGAAGAATATTGCACATAAAAATCATTGTGGTTGTGAACTGAAATTAAAAAAGAATTTGAAATCATATACAATTCCAAAAGCTATGGAAACATTATCCACAACCAGTCTTGTTTCAAGGTCACTTATTAAACAATCTGAATTATTTTGTTCTTCACCTGTAATCTGTCAACAAGCAAAATCATCTAATGGATCCATTGAAGTGCTTATTGGTGATATAGCAGTACAAAAGGTAAGCAGCAAACCAACCATCACTTTTTTTTTTCTGCTAGGAAATCAAATAAACCAGACTTGATTTTATGTGAGATATTAGAAGATCATATACATTAAATCAATATTATGACTTTTTACAATCATTTTTAACTCTTGACATTATAACTTTATAAAGAAAAATCTAACAATGTTATTGATTAAGTTCATAATTTATTCTAAAAGGACATGAGTAATATTATCAATAAGTTTTGTTTGAATTTTTTTTGTAATCATTCAAGTTCTTGGCAAAAAGAATAACATTTTCCTAATTAAGAGTTTTTCTTTGTTATGTTCTAGTCTGGTGCACTTATTATTCCACTCGTATCATATGGATTAAAACAAAGTCTTATTGAGCGAGCCGGTAATATCATAAGACAAGAACAACAAGTAGATAAAAGCAAAAAAACAGATAAAAGCGATAATAATTCAACTCCTTTCTTTATTGAAACAACAGCAAGTAATTTAGTGTGTAAAATTGTCTTGTTTTCAAGCTGGTCACCATTAGAAGCAACGATGAACGATGATAGTTTACGTGAACATATAAGAAATTTTATTTCGAAATCAATTGAATATATCATTGTGAAAAACGAACAATCGAATATAAAAATTGAATCAATTGCTTTTGCAGCGCCTGATTCATGTAAAAAAGAAAATATTTTAGCGGAAGAAATGATTTATGAGACAAAACGACAAATTGAATTAACAAAATCATCATTAAGAATTTCATTTATTCTATTACCTGATCAACAAACGTTATATCACCAATTTTTAACAGCTATTCAAAAGATGCAATCAAATGATGGTGTTCATGCAGTATTTTCCTGTCCAATAACTAGTAAGATCTTATCTAATAAGATTTTTATTTGCTTGATTCAGACTCATCAAATACTTAAAAGTAGAAAAAGTATAATTATTGAAGCACAATAAAGCCCTAGAGATTTTCTACAAAGCAATATACTTTATTTGATGAATACAGTCTCCATTTTTTTTTTGAATCGAATGTGATCATATGGTGAAATCAGGTAAAGAAAGTAATAATTTTTTCATTGGAACTTTCTTTACCGCACATTTCTGTACTTTTATTCATGCTATATTTGTGGTAATATAATTCCAGTTTATTGCTTCAGTCAACTTGTTTGATAAACTACAATCCAATGGATTGAAAAGAAGCCATTTTGATGACCTAGAGTTTCTCAGAATGAATGAAGAAAAATAATCAACGGACCCTTTTGACTTAGCATACTAAAATAAAATGTGTTGCATTTATATGTCTTCAGTAGAATGTGTCGAAGCGGTTCATTTATGATCCGATCGATTTGAGCCGGCCAGATCTCAAGTTTGCATCCTTTTTGCAACTTACGAATATATTTTACTAAATATACTTGCACTGAAAATCAGTCATTGTCTCATACGATGAGATATAGTTACGAACCATATACTAATGAAATTAAGTGCCCCTTGGAAGACATAATAGTGCGCCGCAGTGTTTATGACTATTAATGAACATCGAATATGGAAAAACAACAGTGGTTTGAAATATAGTCGTCATATAGTTCAAAAAGACCCGTTCTCCGTCATAGTAGAGATTGAAAATCGCTGTTTTGATTTACTAGATCTTCGCTGTCGTTGAAAGGAATTTGTCTCTGTTTATTCTAAAACTTAGTCTTCAATAAAAATAATCACAAACTTAAATTAATTGTTCGTAATGAAACTTCTCGTGCTAAATTACGATAGATTTTCGCTCATCTATCATGATTTTCATATTGCTTTTTGCATTTGTTTGTATGTTATAACTTTTGATCTTTATTCCAGTATATCTAAAACAATTTTTGGATCGAATCATACTACAAAATATCAAGTGAAATCTTCTGATAAAAAAAAGATGTTTCAATAAAATGAAGAGCAAAAATAAAAAATTGAAAAAATAATCGATGCAATTTATTCTATGTCACTCTAAAATGTTTCCAATTTTTACATTTCAAAAGTTTAAGAATATTATTTTTCTCTTTGAACTTCTTTTTTAACACTTATATGAGTATAGCAAGAAAAAATGGCAATATGATTATTTGGTGAAAGAATTGTATAGTTCAAAATAACGTTAAACTCGTAACAAAATAGTTAATTTAAATTTTTCTAAAAAAAAGAATTGTATGCAATTACAATTAGTTTTTGAAAGATTTGATGGATGAATTAGTACTTAAAAGTAAAGTTTTTTAAAAACTCATTCTCCATGAATCAAACGATCTTCTTTCATGTATATATCTGATCAATTTCATCTCTCTTGTTTCAGCTATTACGGTTAATTTGATTTCATCAAATAATGAATATTTAGCAAAGTGTAAAGAAAAAATAATGAATTATATAAAAAGATCTATGGTTAAAATAAAGTTAGATGATTTCAAAAATTGGAATCAATATATGATCAATACCTTTTATAAATATTGTTATGATAGATGTGTTTTACCAAAAACAGATGATGATAAACGAATTCGATTAATTGGTCCAATCAATAATGTTTATGATGCTAAATATAAATATCATTTGACAAATGTATTAATACAAGAAAAAATACATTTACAACAATTATTACCTACAACACCACGACCAAGACCAATCATTCGATCTCAAATAACTGATAGTATATCAATAATGTCATCTTCTATATGTTACAATATAATGTTAAGTTATTGTCAAGAAGATTCGATTATATCTCAGCGTTTAGCTGATCGTCTTATTGATGAAGGTTTTTCTGTATGGATTGATTTGATTGAATCTAATGATACTTTTTCGCAAATTAATAAATCTGAATGTATCATTCTTTGTATCAGTGAAAATTATGTTGAAAATAAATTTAGTTTAAATACAGTAGAATATGCCAAACAAATGGGTAAACACATTATTCTTGTAAAAGTTCAGAATTATACGTCGAATGATTGGTTGCAACAATTAATTCCGAATGAAATATATTTTCAATTATTTGGATCAGAAAATCATTTTGATTTACAATACGACAAGTTACTATTAAAAATTGTGAGTATTTAATACTTTTCGTAGTTGTTAACTATACTCATTTGAAGTAAAAAAAAAAAATTTAATCACTAGTATTTTCCTAAATAACTTTAGCTGAACTCTAACTGTTAATCAGCTAAGGTCTTGTGTATATATCACGCTGACTCTTGTGCCTCATCTCCGTGGACATACTTGGATGCACATGCTTTCTAAATACTTGGGTTAGAAATTTCTATAATATCGACTTCTCAGCGAGTACAGCAGACAAATTCAAATCTTTATAAAATTGTGACGTCTACAGCACTCGTGCCATGTGCATTGTTCGTTAAAGTACTGATTTTTTCGAGAGAACCAAAAGTATTTTCTGTACTATTCTTATCGGTTTGGTTGTCAAATGTCGAAAGTGAAAATGTCGAAAAGCAAAATGTCGAAAACAAAAATGTCGAAAGCACAATGTCGAAAATCCAACTCCGCCTTGGTCAGAGATTTCGCCCTCACCCACACTCTTGTGCTATGTGCATGTGTATCTTATGACGATTTACTCATTCAAACTTTAAAAAAATCTTGAATCTAGGATTTACAAGGGTTTTCTATTTTCGACATTTTCACTTTCGACGTTTTACTTTCGACATTTTTGCTTTCGACATTTTGCTTTCGACATTTAACAACTTTACCTTCTTATCTCGTCTATCAAACAAGACGATTTTATGAGAACTGAATAATAGGAAGAACGGATAAATGAGAAAGACCGAAAGTTAAGATAAAAGATTGAAGAAACACACTTTCTTAAACTCTATTCTATTGATAGAAAACATTAATGGTAATAGAAATGACAATAGAAGAGAATCAGCTACTCATTAGCTGTTCTTCGTTATGTGAAAAAAGCCAATCACATACGTCTGGTAGTCTCTCTGTAATAGTGATGAACGACAATTATCTATCGTATTTCGTACATACTACAAAAACTTTGAAAAATATTGCTGACAGGCTATGTCCTGCTCCTTGACTGTTTCATCCCGTGCCTTATGCATTCCTGATACAAAGTTTAGAGAATCTTTTAGAATATTTCAATTACTTTTGAAATTCGTTTCTGGATATTCAAATCCAAAGTTCTAAAAAAACATTTCTACTAAGCATGAACTAATCAAAGAACCATAAAGTCTCTGATTTCTAAAAAATAAATAACCAACGATCTGTCCAGTGGAATTTCTCTGATTTTTATTTCAGTTACAATATACTCAACCGGGTTATGCTTCTTTACTTCAAAAAACATCTAATGGATCAATTATAGTACAGCAAAATGATATGTTTAAATATCATCAAAATTATACAATATTAAATTTTCTATTGATATCTAAACAACGAGAATCAAATTATCAAAAATATGTAATGAAATTGATGAATTTAAAAAAAGGAAAAATAGATGAAAATGAGAGAAAAATTCTTATTAATGAAATTGAAGAAATTATTCATGCTACAGAAAATAAATGTAAGCAACAAATTAAAGAAAAAAAAGTGTCAAGTTATTATAATGATGATGATCAAAGTGAGTTTGTTTCATAATTTAACTACCGTTTTATTTTAATTTTCGTCCTTTTTCAGTGAGTTTAAAAGCGTCAGATGATGAATCGAAAGAAGATGAATTGGAACCACAAATTTTGTTTGAGTCAGGAATATTATCTTATCAATGTATGCTGAAAAAAGCACTAGACTTAAAGACAAAACAGAATATTGCACCATTTACTATATCTGGTGATATCAATGATGCACCATTTTCAATGATAGATGAAGTTTTACAAAATTCAAAACTATTACTTCGTTCAAGAATAACTCGTTTCAATTGTGGTAATTTCACTCCTTCTTTTTACAAGAAATGGAACTTTAATATTAGCCGTTCAAAATCTTTGCAAAGACAGAATAAAAACTCTCCAGAACAGAAAGATAAAAATATAGACGTAAATGATGATAAACCAAATATTCAAACAATATTGGACGACACTACGAGTGTTCTTTCTTTTGAAATGATAGATAATGCCAGAGTACAAAAGCTTCAAGATTTCGAAGGATCAACAAAAACGAGCAAACAACAAATATTAGTCAAAAAAGACTTCCCAACGAAAGGTACCTATTCAGAACAAGAAATCATGGAATTTCGCAAAAAATTTGTCCAACGAATGAAAGATAATGAAAATGAGCTAATTCAACTTTGTGAAGAAGATATTAACCGGTCGCATAGATCATCAAAACAACCTATACATGTTCATTCCGCCGCTATATTTTCTTTATCTACCGTGCCAGATTCGGAAGAAAAATCCACTACAATATCACAAATTCATGATTATCATGCTATTCCATTAAAATTTCCCTGGAATGGGATATTTGATAAAAATGCCCCGTCACTTATACGAAAACATTCATCAACTTTGTTTTTTTTTGAAGTTTCACAACCGCAATAACTTCGATATAACGAACTACGTATTGAGAATTTCATAATGTATGATTTCATTAATAATTTTGAAATAAACAAGACTTGCATCCCAGTGAAAAATGTTCATGAAAAAAAAAACAAAAGTGAACGAATTTATTAAAACATGGAAAGCAATCTTGTCCATGAGAAACGCGTTCTTTAGTTTTGAGAATCCGATGACCCTCACAAGAATATTTTCTGCATTTGAAGGAACACGTATGAACCGTTGTATTAACTATTAGAATGGTTCCCTTGCTGTTCTTGTTTGTAACGACAAGGGATCGCTTCGGTGTTGGGCTTTCGAATGAGTGATCGTGTGAAATTGAATATCGAAAAATTGTTGGGATACAGTCTTTATACAGTGATAACACTGTTGAGCTAATAACTTCAGTAAACATCAGTCAATCGAAATCAGGTAGGTGTAGTGGGTATGTGGAGTGTGGATTCTATCGAGCAGTATACTAACGCGGGCAAAACAAGTCATACTTGCACCTTTGTACAAGAGGTAAATACAAGAGAGTCATTACGAAGACGATACCTACTTTTCACAAAAACCACCGATTCACGACGTGGAAGTTAATGTTATAAGGAGATTAAAAAGAAGAGGTTAAGGACTAAATTTTGTTGTCTAGATGCAAATATCGAAGCCATAGTTGAAGAACTCCTCAGAAACCCACTAGAGTTAGCCGTTTACTGTCGTACCTTTTTGATCTGGCAAGTGAACCGCTACTTAAGTGTGTGTGAATACCTTGATCTTGAGAAAGTTGGAAAAATATTCTGACAATTCTTTAGTATAAAATCATGGCCTCTTCTTTGCTACACACACAGCAAATGTCATCTAGTGTAAACCAGACTCTTAGAGATTGGAGTCGAAGGCTACTATTACAGAAAAAGAAATAAGATGAGTATTAATCAGTAAACTCGTATCAAGCACGTCTTCGTCTTTAATTAGAATTCTATAGGATCGAACGGCATCCGCATTTACAAGACGTCAAATATGCCTTCTCGGGACAGAAACTTCATGAATAGTGAATTTTTCTGGCTGTAAATGGCACATAAAGACACTTCGACATGTTTTTTTTCTTTTTGTATCCAGAATTTCCTCAGAGAACACTCTCGTATTGTGCGGATGAGCACCGCCGTTAGAATGAGTTGTCAGATAGGTTCTTGATTGAATGTGGGTGGGTACGGGTACGAATTTTCATTTTACTCTCGCCCACGTCTACATCGTTTTTTACACTTTAATTTCTCTGCTGTCTAATAATTTTCTTATTACTTTAGCTGCAATGCGTTTTCAAGAGAAAGAAATCTCTTGTGACGATTTACATTTATTAGTCTTTTCCAGAACAAAATATAAGTTCATTTTGCTATGTAAGCACGATAAAACATCATAAAATGGTGTTCTAACCAGAATATATAAGAATTTGTGAACATTAAGATAATTTTCAGTATTTTTTTTTTCTATAGAGTTAATAGATTGTGTTAAAAAGAAAAGATTCTAACGTTATTTTGGAAAAATGTTATATTACACATTTTTGTAAGTTGAAAGAAAAATGTTAATGTGTAAGTTTTTGTTTTGTTTATCTGGGTTTCAACTCCGTACTGATCTTAATTTGCCTTTGTTCGTACGAACACATGAACATAATGTCTTTCTCGAGGACTTGATGTCGTTTTGATAAGTATAACAAAAAACTACATAATTGTGCTCTTCTTCTCGATAGAGGATCGCATTTTTTGAAATGCCTGTTGACATGACTTTTCGAAGGTGTCAATGGACCTGTAAAAGGTACCATTACAAAAAAAAACAACATCAAGCCTAATTTGTAAATTGCCATGAATGTCTGAGACATTTTTCAGATCTCAAAAAAAAAATCATGAAATTGACTATTATGCTGCAAAGAATATACAAGAATATTAATGAACGTGATGTCGAAACTTTAACAAGTTAAAAGTATATGGATTTGTTCAAATTAAAGTAAATGTATTTCAATTGAGAGTTTTAATTGAGATAAAATTTTCATTTAAAATCTTGTTTTTAACTTTCTAGATATTCTCATTCAGTTTGTCACTAAACATAGAGTCTGTTTGAGTGAAGGAATGCAGATCATGCTCAGCACTGATTGTATCGGAAACAACATTTTTTGAATCTGTGGTAACATAAACTGATGACATTAGTTTTTGTTCTAATTCAATCATTTTTTCAGATTGTTCATCAATTTTAACAGAGTTGTTGCACATGTTAAGTGATTTAGACGAATTTTTCCGATGTAATTCATCAACATTGAAGAAATCTTTCTATCACAAATACATTATACTGGCTAAATCATAAAATGCATGATAGAAAATATCACCTGAATCAATGATATATCAAGTTCCATCATAGTAATATTTACCAGCTGAAAACAAAAGCGTTCTCGAGCACGAATAAATACATTATGAATAATGGCCCATTTTGCATAGAAGTAAATATAAGGAATCATTTTAATTTCAGTTGTAAATGAAAATTCACTTTAAATGCTTACTCTCTATTGAGATACATTGTGCTAGATTACGGCTTAATTCGAATGGATCTTCAATGGCAATTATTTTGCCAAGCCATCCTTTATCAACACGTAGCAATGGTTCCTTTTGTCGAATGGTGACAATATTTTTATTATAATTAAATTGTTCTGTATAATAACGTAAGAGCGCAATTCATAGACTACCAGACGTCATTGTATTCAGCTCATTATCTTTATTCCATATTTCTTTCTTGACACGAATAGATAGTTGAATAAGATACATGTATAGCAAGAAGATAAATAATTTCGTACAAGTCTATTTAAATCATCGGAGAAATACACATCCCATTGTAGCACATTTTCGACATATTGAATTGTTTTTGGATGATTGATCAATTAACTATTATATAAAAATCAATATAAATGGAAAGATATGAAAGAACCAACTTGTTGAAGAACAGGCAAAACAGATGGTTGAATTTGTTGAAGAAAATAAATGACCATTATGATATATGCATAACTTGACAATGTACCACTGCTAGCATCACCAATATCACAACTCTGTAATAAGTTCATAAATGAATAGAAAGGAATCTAGCTATAAAAACATTTTCTATTACTACGAAGGAAGACTATATGTAGAAGTTTATTCATAGTTAAAGAACTACAATCAATGGTCTCAATTCATTATCTCCTATAATAGGTCATATCACAAGGACATTTCTAATTCAAAATAGATTAAAGAAAACTCGTTCAGTTCTATAGTTTTCCATTGTTATATAACTACGTAGTTAGTTTCAATCATCGAACTAAATGTGCAATGAAAAACTATTATTCATGGGCATTCATGCCAGACAAACTGTGTAATCAAATTTTTCTTAGTAATGATCTTAATAAAATGCAAAAATCAATGTCGAATTCTGTTGAGTTCTTCAAATTCAACTTGGGCGATAAAAAATGAAAGATGAATCTAACGAGAAACTATCGCTCGACAATATCCTTTAAAATAATCTATTATTAGATCGAGGGACGCCGCATTTCGCAAATTTTTTGGTATTGAGATATGTTGGTAAGCAAAATCGAGTTTTTATCATCTTTAAATGAACCTAGTTGTCTATTTACAGTTGTAATATATCAAACAGAAGAAAAAACCTATCAGAAGTGTGATTAATTGTCATACTTTTGCTAAATATTTCATCATGTAACCGAGTTCAATTACACGTGAGTCAATCTTCGCATAGGTCTTAAGCAGGCGGGTATTTTCCGTAGCCTAAATAACCGCAGAAAAATGATGCCGATTATATTTTAATGATAGACAAAATTCAAACAAAAATATTGTGAATACTAATATCGAAATTAACATTTAATTGAGAATGTTTTGATCGAATTATAGGTACTCTGGCATGACGCCATAGGCGAACATATTCAAAGGTATTAGAGTACATTAATTGAGATAACTATTCTAGAATATTAACATTACTTTTCTTGTGTCTAGAAGATAAATGAAATAAGTAGCATTATAAGAATTAAGAAATATTAAAAACAAACATTCTCTTTCAAATGAACGCATACGTCAAAATCACTTTCTCGGAAATCGAATCCATTACAAAATGAACCATATGCTTGTAATTTACAATTAGGATAAACTTTTTGAAATTGAACTTGAAGCTGTCGCAAAATTTTTCTACGATCTTCAATGTTTGCTCTTGTTGGTTGGCACTGTTCTATAAAAGAACAAGAGAGAAGTCATGAAATTATAATAATTATTAGAAAGATATGTACTAGTAACATGTTGACGAAGGCTAGAAAGTATATCATTCCATTCGGGATTGATTTCTACCTATCAGTTACACTTGGCATATACATCTGGAAACAATTGGACATCATATGACCACTCTCATTACATATGACACATACAATTCGAGCGCCCTGAATAAAAACAGCAATATGCTTTTTAATTTTTCGCATAAAAATCTGCATATCTGTTCGGTACCAAAATTTTTTTGCTTCAAAATCGAAAAATAATGCGACAGAATTGTTGCAAGCGCACGTTTCTATTGTGTCTGACATTATTGTATCGCCTTGAACAGATGATAAATGATAGACAGTTGAGCTAATCGAAGAAAGTGATTTTATGGGTAACTCAGAATAAGATTTATCAATTGTCGAAGATGAGTTTGATAATGTTGCTATTGATGACTTGAAACTGTTGAACAATTGTTGAACCTTATCGTTGACAACATCTCCTGAAAGGAAAATCAGAATGTGGATATTTGATTCTAACCAAAACATGTACAATCATGAGAAAGTTATAGTTTTTCTGACTTCAACCACTTCGTCATTTCAATTATTAATTCAACAATATATAGAGAAAGATATTGAAATTCTTTCAGGGTGTAGGTATCGGTGTGAGATATGACTGAGTATGGATTTTCTCTTCTTTTGCACTCACATCATAAACTGTCTGCGAAACTTATCAAGAGCATAGGTTTGGACCAAGCCGTTCATCAATAAAACACTTGATAATGGTTTGAAATGTTTTCAGATTTTATCATGCTTTTTATATTGAAGTTTCAAGTTAGAAACATCTTTTTTTTTAAACATATTTTGTACCAGTTTGTTTGAAAAAATAAATATCAATAGTAATTATATTGGGGTAGAGAACTTCTATGACGTTATAAACTCATATGATTGTATGAGCAAGTGCATCGATGCAAAAATGCTTCTTCCATGCGGAGAAGATTTGCTCAGACTTATTTAATGTAATTTAGAACCTTTCAGGTAAATTTCAGGATGCTCTAACTACAGAAAAAACAGAAATGTAATTTAAAATGTTTGCCGCATTTAGCCTAGCCTTTAAGGTTTCATGTTTGAAGCTCATATTCCGAAGAAAACGTTCGAAATAAATCCTGTCTCTGTCTATTCTAAACTAGAACATTGTCTTCTGATGAAATTCTAAGAAGTTGGGTAAATAAATCAAAATGACACTTTTATATACCTTACCTTGTCGTTCAAACTCTCTTTGTAATATGCGCCTTTGTTTCTTATTGAGATCTCGACAGAGGACCTCGAACGATATCAGCGTCACTGTCGCATTATCATTTTTATTGTGGAGGTTTTGTTTTGCACCACTTGACTTTTCATTATTTAGCACCAGTAATGATCGACTAGAACATGAAGACATTCGTCTGATATAGTACACTGATTGGAAATTGTTCACTAACCTATCATTTTGCTTCTTGTTATCTGTTTTATGATTTCAAACAAGTGGACTAATATCTTCATCTTGATTACCTTCATTAATATCATTCGGCTTTGCCCTTTCTTGTTCTAATATAGTATCTCCGATAACTTTTACTGGCATAACTGCATTGTCAACATGATGGCTATTGAGTATATCAATATTATTTTCGAAATAAGGTCGAAATGCATATTCGATTTCGTCTTCATTAACATTTTTATTCAGCCATAATAGCCAAGTACTTCTAGTTAATTTAAGTTTTGGTTCAGGTAATGAGATTCTTTTCTTGTCGAATGTTTGCACGCATAATTTTCGGACTTGCTTCTGATTTATTTTTGTATCAAGTGCTATGCTTGAATGTAAGCATTGAGTAAATAATTCATATGAATTATGCACCATACTAATTGATTTGCAATCTAAGCATTTGTCTTTATCGTCACTGGTTAAATTTTTCTCTTGTATTCTACAAAAATATTCAAAAGCTTTCTGAAGTGTTTGCTGAAGATAGGTGCTTGAGCACGCTGCTTGCATAGTTGAACATAAATTTTCATCGATACATATCGGATCTATGTAAATTAATAGAGTTCATATCCAAAGAAAATCATCAATAAAACAATTGTGTGACTATACTACTTTCGCAGCTCAATAGACTTTTGGACCACTTTTTTCTACTTTTCAAAACTGGCATTCGTGTTTGTATAGATATAACGAACCGTTTTACATTAAACTTTTCAACATAGAAATACAGAAGTTGAAGAAAAAGCATTTCAATGCTGGTCGTATTTTTTGATTTCCATTTACGAGCATATTCATTGGATAAACAAAAAAAATCGCTATAGTGATAATCTTGTAATAGCATTGGTACTTGATCAACTCCGAAAACCTTTCTTCGAAAATGACACACTTTTTTATGAAAAGAAAAAACAACAATCTTACATATTCATGAAGACATGGTAAAATAGGCTCCTCAAGTTGCTGCAGAAAGTGGGTGACCATTAGATGAAAGACTATCGGATGAAGAGTGCCCAAATCTGGTCTATCTATATTGCATACCTGTAGCAAAAAATACGCACCTTGTGATGACTTTCTTGTTACCAAGAAAAAGACAAATTTTAGAGAGAATGCGAAAGAGTCGAAGCAATTTAAGAACACGTTCGTCAAATTTTGTATAAGTTTGAATTAGTTTCAATAAGTAAATTGCTGTAGTGTGGCCAGATGTTAACCGCACATGTATGTTCGACTCGCACACAACCAAATTGATTTGCGGTGGAGCATAGTCGATGTCGATATGAGCTTCATGACAAAGTTCTAAATAACAACAAACAGTGATTACCAATTAGAACTTTTGCAATATTCCATAGCTTTCGAACTGCGGTGTAAGTGGCTGCTGGATGAGCGTGATGAAAATGTTGTGTTTTTTAAGGGTTGATGCCTTGTCGTGGGCGAGTGGATTAAGAGAAAGTCCTTCCTCACATCTGTTACAAATGATACTGCTAAAACCTGAAGTCAAAATTTCTTACAATAGTTCTAAGTTTAATTAACGATTCTTAATTAGATAACTGCCATCGTCACAATGACGGTCGTGACAATCACTATCATCTCTGAGCTTTGACGAGATCAATCTCTTTTTTTCTGGCTTCAAAAAAGGAGTTCGAAAGTGGTGGAATGTGCAGGCATAGTTTCATATCAGAATCACAAATGATATTGAGTAGTTTTTTCAATGTATCATAACGACATGTTTCTTCAAATTTCACATCGATATAAATTTTGCTTGACTTTTCCAAGCCACATTTAAATAAAAAAGCACCGTATAAGATAATTTGAGAATCTAATTGGAAACGGTACAAAGTCGCTGAAGAATTAAACATACGTCTTTATTTACTAACCTGGTCGCTCGGTGAGAATAAGATTGTGTAATTTATTATATACGATCAGTCGTTCTTGAATACCGCCATTGGATAAGAAGTGTTTTACTCAAGCCTGGTCAAAAGCAATCTTTAATGATTATAAATGCTTAGATGTTGGCTCTTCGGTCTTGATAGTTGTTTGATTTATTGGAATCTAGTGACGAGAATATTTTTTGAAATTTCACGAGATCATAAACAGAATCAATTACTTCTTTCAGGGACATTTCTATGATGTCTATTGAACTATCTTTGATACACCGTACTATAAAAAATAAATGTTGAATCAATTGATTCATGTTTATCTGGCAAATTTATACCTGAGAATGTTTGTTCCATTTGATTATTTTGACTACATTGTCCTGCTATGAAGTCACTTGTTGTTGAGGTCGCACAACATCGAAGAATGGTATTATAACTCATTTTTTCCGTGGCATATGTGTCTGTTTCTGTTGTTGATTTTGATTATGATCGTCGCGATATTCTATTTGTTCGCTGCATTTATGTTGTTGGTCAAGCCTTTCATGATTGTAACTGCGTGACTGATTGACTGGAAACATAATATCCGTTTGTTTTGTGTTTATTTTTGAAGTTATTCACAAAAATAAATTGTTCAATACGCTAGTGTTGTAAGTGCAAGTCGAAAAAAATCTGAAATTGAGAGCAGTCATCCTATTCCGCAATGTTGAACATTGCGGAATAGGATGTATTCTCCTTCTTCAGCTTTCTGCCCAGATCTATAAAAGATACTTGCTTGTACTGATCTTGTCGTCAATCCACTAGTGTGTTGCTACTAGCTGTGATGAATGAGTCTAGTACAGAATAGCTAAAAAAGTAACGAATTTCGACTTGAAAGTACCAGCTACTGTACGAGAGCCGCTTTCGTACAAAAAAAAACAGATTTTTAACATCAGGTCAAAACTGTCGTGAACAGAATTGGATTTCCAAAGTTTGAAATTTAAACATTCAACTTTTGATGAAGTGAATATCTCAATCAATCATAAGCGTCGAAAATTCCGCGTAAACAGTTTTAATGTGGCGGCTAAAAGTTAAAAGAACAACATGTCTTTACGTTGACGCATGAAACCTTTGCAAGACACGAAGAATGTCGGTTGTCAAAAGCCTTGCATATTTTTCAAATGAAGTTCAAATATAAATTTTCGAACATTTTTGAAAGATGAAAAATTGTTAAAATTCGGTTTTGAAAACCAAGTATCATACTATTCGTTACTTTCAATATCATGTGAGAATTAAAAGTTTGCTGCTTCCAACACTCACTTTAAACAACGGCATGTTGCAGTCACTAAAATATAGCATGAATAGTGATTGAGAGTTTTATAGACAAGATCGTGAACGATTTTTTTTAAATTTGCATCTGTAATGGACAAACTGCATTTATTAAACTACACAAAAGAGCTACTCAATACCTGTGTCGCATTTGTTTGTTGACTCCGTTGCAATAGAGAAACGAACAAAATGTTAGCTGCAAAAAACTCATTTTTACTGTTTTCTTTGAATAAAAGCATGAAAAAAATATTTAGACAAAGCTTTTTCTGGTAGGACATTCTTAGCAATGAAAGTGCCAACATATAGAGAAGAATTCTAAAAGAATCAATTGCAATTTTCATTTCATGAACGGATGTGGGCGTGGTAGAAGCGAAGATATGTATCCATACATCCAGACTCTTGGAAACAAATGTTGAGCAATTTGAAGGTATTCCCTTGGTCACTATCGACATCTATATCACTATACTGATAAGTATGAGGGAGGAGAGGACGTAGAATGTGGATGTGGGTTTTGGATGTGAGTACTTCCGCTTGACACAGACCTTCACAACCACACTGAAATTCACATCTATATCTCACCGGATTTGTGTGTCCTGTATCTCCCTAAAAAGAAAATATTTTAAGTCGATTTTCTATATCTGTAGATATAACTTGTTCAGTTTTATAGGAGAAGACAATTTTTGATCGATTTAAAAAGCTCGTGCGTTTTTTTTAATAAAAACTTCACGGAATAGATCTTGCACTTAGATTATTTCACATACAAAAAGGGTCGTGTTGTTTTTCATTTCTTTTTCTGTTTCATTATTTCTTGATGGGTTCCATCATTTGTGTGATTTGTGCTTCATATCTTTCTATTCGTATAAAATTAAACACATAGTTGTTCACTGGATGAAGAATATAACAAATAATATTAATGGTCTAATGGATTTCTCTAAAATTCTATTCTTTCTTTACTCAAATTGTTTTATGATGAATTTCAAGAACAATACAAAGTTTTCTACTATTTGTTTATAATAGATCAATATTTAGTTAACAGTACTACATATAGGTTACCACGATAGTGTGTCTAGTCGTGAGCAGCTATTTAGAAACATGTTCATCTCTCTAAGAACAGTTTGTTTCTCGATTCGTTATTCATAAAAATGAGAGCTATTCTTAATATGCATAGGATAATAATGATGGTGTATAGGCGCTGGTGTGTATGAAGAGAAGAGACACACTCACATATAAAGTTTCGAGGCTCTATGCTTAGCTTGTTTCAAGCAATTATCACTCAAAGTTGTCAAAACATTTGTGTTTTACCTATGTAAAAGTTGTTTTGCACTCTATGCTTCATCTAACTGAAGTAAAGGACGAGAAATATCTAACATAACATTCAATCTATCACGCATTCCAAGGACACGTTATTTACTGTCTTCCAGTGTTAACGTTGTCATGCTTCACTGACATTTCTGTTTTCTTCATAAACGCACACTTACTAACATACGAAAAATTTGTTTGCGCAAACATTTTCATTGCAACTTCGACACTTATGTGGTCTCCGACTTCTCCATGGCGTCATCAACGTACGGTCGACGGAGCTACTCTAACTTCTATGCAATCACTTCAATTTCCGAATCGTCGTCTACCCAAATTCGTTGATCTTCGTCCATGGATGTCACCTATTGTAAAACAAATGAATATGAATTCCTGGTAGGCGTCATTTCTTTCAATTTTCTGCCATTAAAACAATCGACTTATCCTTACAGTAGTGCCAATGCTTTTGCTGGAGTATTGGAGTACATATTCATGCGTGATATGAATATCGATGAACGTTTATCTCGTTTGTTTATATATTATAATGCTCGTTTGTATCAGAAACCAGGTGCAATCAATGATGATGGTGCAACTAAAAAAGCTACGGCTCTGGCTTTGCGTAAATTTGGTGCATGCAAAGATTCCTTATGGAAGTATGATATTTTGAATGTCAATAAAAAACCACCACCAGAAGTCTACAGGATAGCAAATCGTATAACAGTTAGACCACTCAAGGTTCCTCGAAATATAAATGCAATAAAAAAGTGTTTGGCTAATCAAGTTCCTGTTATCATTGGTATCCGAATGGGATCAATAGATGGGAATGAGGTTCGAGCAAACAATGGTTATTTACGAAGACTAGATCCGAATGATCCATATTTGGATGAAAAAGGATATCGTTGTCACTCGGTCGTTCTAGTTGGTTATGATGAAAAAGCAAAGCATTTCATCGCACGAAATTCATGGGGGCGGAGCTCGGTAAGTGTATCATCAACTACTACATCATTATTGTCTCAGCTAAACTTATTCAGGGACTTGACGGCTACTTTTATGTACCTTATGAAGACGTAATGGCGAAAAATCTGGTCAATCACAGCGACGGTGTATGGTCTATTACGGAAATCATGTTGCGCACTTCCCATATGCCGACTGTCCGCAGACTGTACCTACCTGGACATAATCAAGATGGGCGACAACGTCGACAGCGACATACTCAGATTCTACCAACTACGCATCGACGTTCAACCGCACCAGTCACTCGTGAATATTGGCCACGTCCTTCCTTTTTCATAAATAATATTGAAATATACTAGAAAAATGTTCAATTTCATTTTATTTGAGCAGAATGTGATAGACAGCTGAGCTTGGGTGTGGGGTGTGTGTGAGTCTGGGTCTGGGTGGGTGTGGGTCTGGGTTTGGGTGGATCTGGGTGGGTGTGGGTCTGGGTGAATGTGAGCCTGGGCGTGTTCGTTTTTCATCCACACTTCACAGCCTGAGCCACATCCACTCCCACATCACCCACACCCAAGCCAACACCCATATCCACATCCGGTAAGAAATGCAAACTTGTATATATTGTTTTCGGTTTTTTTGTAATAAAATGAATTTCTTAATTCGATCGAACCCAACCCAAGCCTAACTTAAACTTAAACTTCTTCCTATACATATCTCATAACATAATGGGTTTCATTTTATGACCCGACCCAACCCAATCCTAGCTTAAACTTCAAATTCATTTCTATATTCTTTTTTTAATTAGAAGACTTTTCTATGATCATCCTTAAAAGCATTCAATTAAATTTCCATGAAATTTCTACTATAGTCACTTTATTTGACTTTTCTGGAAATAGGAATTTACCATCACATGCTTATAAATGTTAAACAACTATTCATGATGCATCTATCTATCAAGTTTCGAGACTATATGCTTAGTTAGTTTCAAGAAATTGGCATTGAAAGTTGCCAAAACATTAGTGCATTACCTATGAAAAAGTTGTTTTGCACTCTATGCTTCATCTGACTGAAGTGAAAGACGAGAAACATCTAACATAACATTCAATCTATCACGCATTCCAAGGACACGTTATTTACTGTCTTCCAGTGTTGACGTTGTCATGCTTCACTGATATTTCTGCTTGCTTCATAAACGCACACTTACTAACATAAGAAAAATTTGTTTGCACAAATATTTTCATTGCAACTTCGACACACATGTGGTCTTCAACATCTCCATGGCGTCATCAACGCATAATCGATGGAGCCACTCTAACTTCTATGCAACCACTTCAATTTCCGAATCGTCGTCTACCCAAATTCGTTGATCTTCGTCCATGGATGCCACCCATTGTAAAACAAATGAAAATGTATTCCTGGTAGGCTTCATTTGTTTCCATTTTTACTCATTAAACAAACCGACTTATCTTAACAGTAGTGCTAGTGCTTTTGCCAGTGTATTAGAGTACATATTCATGCGTGATATGAATATCGATGAACGTTTATCTTGTTTATTTATATATTATAATGCTCGTTTGTATCGGAAACCAGGCGCAATTAATGATGATGGTGCAACTAAAAAAGCTACGGCTCTGGCTTTGCGTAAATTTGGGGTCTGTTCAGAATCCTTATGGAAGTATGATGTTTTAAATGTCAATAAAAAACCACCACCAGAAATCTACAGGATAGCAAGTCGTGTAACAGTTAAACCACTCAAGGTTCCTCGAAATATAAATGCAATAAAAACGTGTTTAGCTAATCAAGTTCCTGTTATCATTGGTATCCGAATGGGATCAATAGATGGGAATGAAGTTCGAGCAAACAATGGTTATTTACGAAGACTGGATCCGAATGACCCATGTTTGGATGAAAAAGGATATCGTTGTCACTCGGTCGTTCTAGTTGGTTATGATGAAAAAGCAAAGCATTTCATCGCACGAAATTCATGGGGGCGGAACTGGGTAAGTGTATAATAAACTACTACACCATCATTGTCTCCGCTAAACTTATTCAGGGACTTGATGGGTATTTTTATGTACCTTATGAAGACATTATGGCAAAAAATCTTGTCAATTATCCTGATGGTATATGGTCGATTACTGAAATCATGTTGCGGACTTCCCATATGCCAAATGTCGGTAGACTGTACGTACCTGGATATAATCTGGATGGGCAACGACCTCGACAACTATATACTCAGATTCTACCGACTCTGCATCGACGTTTAATTGCATCAGTGACTCATGGATATTGGCCACGCTCTTCTTTTTTTCATAAATAATATTAAAATATCAGGTGATCTAAAATATCATAGAAAAATGTCGGACTTCGTTTTATTTGAGCAAAATATGATAGATTGCTGAGCTCGCTTTTAGTGTTGCATAGAACATAGATTGTAGTCTAACAGAATATATTTCAAATCCTGAAACTCGTAAAAATCATGTGACAAAATTTCTGTAATATTATTTTCTCATTTTTGATAAATAAATTCGTTATGTTGCCTTAGATGTAATCCTTTTTTTCGGCTGAATTCTGCAGTTTGTATAGACAACGCTATCAGTTACTGCTGCATATACAAATCATTGTCAAGCTTGATTATGGTCCTTTATTTGCGATATAAAAGTAGTAATTGTCGTTTCTATCTGCATATTGACTTTGGAAATAACTTATCATTATGGATATGCTTGATCGTTTACAACAAATAGAATTATTTCGAAACTATAAAAGTATGTAATTGGTCATTCTTGTTTAAGTGGATTCTTTCTAATTTCTATTGCACTAAATTAAGACACAATTTTAATAAACCTTATAACTGTTAGCGAAAACCAGTCTGAGATGAATCATTTTCCATCATCTGACACTTTTTATTCAAAGCCAATGAATTCAAATATTTTTTCAGGACACTTAACATTACTCGTCAGCTCTCTAATGCATTTGTGATTGGTTGAAAGCATGGTTCCGTAATAACACGATATAATCAAAAGTACAGGATCAAGTCAAGAAGCATAAGCAAAAAATGTCTCTCATGATATTCAAGAAAAGAAATGAACCTATACTAATATTATAATCAAATCATTCGTTTTCGACTAACTATGGCGTTGAAAAACAAAGGCCTGTTCATGATTTTAATAATCTTAGATGTAAAAAGAAAAAGAGTATGAACGAAGGTAGATGAAGAGAAGACCCATGTCATTTCTTATTTATCATCTGCCTTCATTTTCCCATCAAGATTATAAATTGATTGCCAAACTGCAATTAATAGCAATCATGTATTTTTTTCATGCGTTTCATGATAAAATCAACAATATTTCTAAGGTCATATATCAATAACAATTTTGAAAAGAAATAAGAAATCGATAGTAATGAATGTAGGCACTTACATTAACTTCACAATAGAAAACGCACATGTGCAGCAAAGTTCAATCATGAACGACAATGTGGTGACATTTTTTTGGCTTGATTCATTTGTGCCCACATCGCAAGAAAACGATTAAGCTCAAGAATAGCTCTGTGCAGCCATTAATCACCTAAAAAAACTCGATGATGCTTAAAATTGCGATATATATATACGAAAAATACTGTATACATCAGCAGTGAATAATTCGGCCAAGAGGTAGTGCATCGTATTCATCAACCTCGATGAGGTTCTTCCATCTGCAGGTATGTATTTTCTCTTTATCGACATCCACACTCTTCTATAAAAGTCAACGAACTTGATAAAAACTAAATTTAGAGTCTTCATAGTTGATTGGAATTATCAAGATGTGCACATGACCATAAAAATACACAATTGGTTTTTTTTGTAAATAGAAGCAATATTTTGTTGTGACGATACTGGAAAATAAATGTCACACGAAGAGCGTCGTCTTGCTAATGTAGAGAAAGGATTGATTGAATTGACGCCAAAACAAAAATTAATTTCTGGAAAACCTATTATATTAAGATTTCCATTTGAGAATCAATTCATATGTACATAAACTGTTTTCTGAAATCTAGCTAATGTTAAATTATTATACTAAGTCAATTGTTTGACTTTATTTTATTAAAGAAAATTCAAATGTATTTTCAAATTGTACATCAGATAAAGTATTATTTTCATTATTATATAGTATTCTTGAACAATTAGAACTGGGTAAAAAGAATCTTGCTAGTTATTTCTTATCTAATTCAGTTATGCTTGAAATTCTTAATCAAGCATAAAACTCAAGAAAAATTGAACAATATCTGAGTTCATTTACTGAAGCTGCAAGAAGATTATTCAATGTCATTATTTAATTTTGTTTTCTTTATATTGATTTAGGTTGAATTTGTCGAATTTTATGTCAAGTAAAACTAATTTTCTTTTATTCATGACAACAAGACATAATATTATTTTATAAACTTCTAATCATAATTTGGCATACTTTTTTTTCTATCAATTAGATGAAAATATTGCATTCTATAAAAATGTTATAGCAAAGATCAAACCGAAGAATTATTAAATAATTTTACCCATTTACATAAAAAAATCATTCATCAATGCACTTGACATACTGTAGAAAAAATGACTTATGAAGGCTTATATTATGTATAACTATTGAACAAGAAATAGCTCAAATAGGTCTTTCAACTATTCAAATTGTTTTGACAAAACAAAATGTAAAAACATTACAAGCAGCAATAAATAATAAAAGTTTAAAGAATGAAACAAATAAATATTTCTTAGATGTGCTTAAGGGGACCCCTCCCCTTTCCGCCACTTTTTGAGAACGGCTCAACGAAATTTTCTGAAACTTTCAGGGTAGATAGACCTCGATGAGTAGAACAAAAGTTGTCGTAGACTCAAGATTCTANAGAACTTTTCAAGAGCTACAAAATGATCACAAATTGTGAAGTAAAATATGCTGCGCTCGACAATCTCCAAGGACCACACTGTTCAGGTTCTACAGGAAAACCCATTGTTGTGATAGTATGGTCCGTAAGATCTTAAGTATTACTCCTGATACCATCGTCATTTTTTCTGTGCAGATAGAACTTTTCAAGACCTTCAAAATGATCACAAATTGTGAAGTAAAATATGCTGCGCTCGAAAATTTCCAAGGATCACACTGTTCAGGTTCTACAGCAAAACTCATTGTTGGGATAGTATGGTCCGTAGGATCTTGAGTATCGCTCCTGATACCATCGTCATTTTTTCTGTGCAGATAGAACTTTTCAAGACCTTCAAAATGATCACAAATTGTGTAGTAAAATATGATGCGCTCGAAAATTTCCAAGGACCACACTATCCGGATTCTATAGAAAGACCATTGTTCGGATAGTATGGTCCATACGATCTTGAGTATTAGTCCTGATACCATCGCCATTTTTTCGGTGTGGATAGAGATTTTCAAGACGTACACAATGATCATAAATGTAAAGGGAAATTTACCGTCCTCGAAAAAAATCGCGGACGACACTATCGAATCGTTGTGAGAAAACGAATTGTCGAAAGAATATGACGAACGGGTTTTGAAACTCCGATCATAGAATGGTTGTGAATATTGGAGTAAGTGATAGAATGTGTTATAGGTAAGAAGCCGTTATGCATGTGGAATGAAGCAAGGCTTAAGCAATGTATCGAGGATGATTGGTATGCAGTAATGGAAGAGTCATTTTAGGGGTTGAGAGGAAGGGTAGTAAACACGCAGAGATTCATATAGAAGATGTAGTATACAGAGACTTTGAGGTGAAGGTGGCTATATAGCGAAGGAGAATGATGAAAAAATGTTGGCTAGATTGGGATTTAGACATGATACGAGATCAGAGAGAGAAGAGAGAATATGTTTCGTGGAGAGTGATTTCGATAGAGGTTAAGGGATGGCGCGACATGTGCGAAGAAAACGTTTTCCTTGGAGAGTGATTCGGAGCGTATATGTTTCATACAGAGAGACATATGAAGAAGAAATTTTTAAAGAGAAGTATTTGTTAGATTTATTTTATAGATAGCGGTGATAAAATATAAAAGCGAGGGGTAACATGAATTCTTATTACTTTTCGCATAAAGGCAATCCGAACAAGTCATATATATCTATCATTGTTATGGTGGTTGCGTAAGTGTGAGCAGCGGACTTCCTCTAACTGCAAAATGCATTCGACTTTTCTTCATTAACGGTTTGTTTCCAACGTCTCCGGCGATGGATGCCTACATTTGTACAACTAACCACCATACGGAGGTCATATTTTTCAACAATGTTATAGAGGAAAGTATAAATCATACCTCCAAAAACATATCATCGACCACACTATACTGACCGTCGATTACTCTCAACATTGCCGATACTGTGCGCCTTGAGATTTTCTGGCAGCCCCATTGCTGCCTAATGTTTTATTACGATTTCGTAGCTCTTAAACCGCTCTATCTCCACAGAAAAAACGGCAATGGCATCAAGAGCCACAGTCAAGATCGCAAGAACAATACTATCAAATCCATTGGTTTTTCTGTAGACCCCGGACAGAGTGGTCCTCGGAAATTCTCAAGCGCACCGCATTTTCCTTTACATTTTCTGATCATTGTGTACGTCTTGAAAAACTGTGTCGGCACAGAAAAAATGACGATGGTATCAGGAGCGATACTCAAGATCCTACGGACCATAGTATCCCAACAATGAGTTTTCCTGTAGAACCTGGACAGTGTGGTCCTTGGAAATTTTCGAGCGCAGCATATTTTCCTTAGCATTTTGTAATCATTTTGTAGCTTTTCAAAAGTTCTATCTGCACAGAAAAAATGACGGTGGTATCAGGAGCGATACTTAAGATCTTACGGACCATACTATCCCAACAATGAGTTTTGCTGTAGAACCTGAACAGTGTGATCCTTGGAAATTTTCGAGCGCAGCATATTTCACTTCACAATTTGTGATCATTTTGAAGGTCTTGAAAAGTTCTATCTGCACAGAAAAAATGACGATGGTATCAGGAGTAATACTTAAGATCTTACGGACCATACTATCACAACAATGGATTTTCCNGGAGTGTGGATGGGGTGTGGGGGTGGGGGTAGGGGGCGTGGATGTGGATGTGGGTGTGGGTGTGGGTGTGGGTGTATTTCTTTCCGTAACCCACACCCTCAAAAAGATCACTATGTACAGCAAAAAAAAGATGTTTTCACTAGCATCAACATACAAAGAGACAAAACACAACGTCTCTTATGGCGTATAATATCCAGATCGTCAAATTTTACATTCTGTCTTGAATTCATTACGGATGTAAATTTTAATATTTCAAAGCTCACCTGACGAGTCCCTTAAGCAAAGACGAATCCAGTTGTGAGAAGCTTTCGAATTTTTTTTCTAATAAACTCACCTTCACCCCCACACCCTCCACCCAAACTTTTCTGCTCGTGCTTTCCTCTTCTAGTCCGTTTACATTCTAGTTAAGATATTTTTTGTAATAGAAAATCGTTTCTTTATGTCTGTGTTAAGAATGAATACTATACATACAATTAGTCGTCATTATTTGATAATCAAAAGAAAAAAAAAATATTATAACGAGTAGCAGTTCCTGTTTTTTGAGCACTTAAAGTCCTTTTTCTCTCTTTTTTTGTCATACATGCTCATGTCAACAAAAACCTTCGACTTTTCACTATAAATTCAGCAAGAAAAAGAAGATTGCTTGGGCATCCATAAAAGCATTAAATCTCGAAAAACTACAAATGCTGCATTCGTCAAGAGGAAGAAAGGGAAACCATTCAATGATTTATTTGTTTTGCGCAACAGAAAGAAATAATAATTGTTTTTACAAAGCAGTATCGTCTTTGCTGATTGAAGAGTGGCGCACGCTGAAGAACAAGTATCGATTGTACAATGACGACCAGTACACAAAAAGGAGAAGTGTATAAATCTCGTCTTCAATTCGTTGATACTAAACGACCGAAAAATTATCGTAATCTGAATAATTCATCACTGATAGGCTTTGGATCGGATATATCGTATACATCATCAAAACAATCGCAATCTGCCGTGAAAATTCTTAATGTGAAAGATTTGGTAGAAATTCCATCAAAGTACGATTTCTTGTTTTGCTTTTTGTTCATATAACTGAATTGATTTTTGGAAAGACGTTCACGCCGACGTGGTTGGTTGTTCGCATTTGGTATTGGACTTTGCTGCTTGTTAATCACTGCTACTGCAGTATCTGTTCCCCTGGCTGTACTCTATTTCAATAAACAGACGACTACATCGACTTCCACTACTACCAACACTACAGCTTCCATTTCTACCAGTACTATAGTTTCCACTACTACTTGTAAGTAATCGCATCTCCATGAAGCTTCCAATGGAAAAGAAATCGAAAACAAAATTGTCTGTTTTTGATTTCTATTGAATAATTTCAGATTTACCAACATCTTGCAATGCGACCTGTAATATTGCCAATCGAGCTGCTCTGTCAAGTTATACAGCAGTATGGACTTTTGAAAACAATCTGAACGATATTCTTAATGTAGGAATTCATATCTTCCATTCGTATACATCCGAGACTGTCTAGGTCTACAATGGCACCGGTGTGAACAGTCCTGGGTATAGCACAGGCTATGTTGGTCAAGCATTGAGTTTGAATGGCTCACAATATGTAACGACGCCATTTATCAATCTCGCTAATTCAAGTTTCACCGTCGAAGCCTGGATTCAATCAGCGACATTGGTTACAAATGGACCGGATTATGCCGTATTTGGGGAATGTGATCTTAGCGGTGCTACAAAAGATAATTGTATGCATTTAATTCTGAGAAATTTCAATCCATATAGTATATATATGGGTAAGTATCAGTTGATATGAAAGTGTTGGTACTGCTGCGTGTTTGTTTCTTTGGAAAAGGATTTTGGGTCGATGATCTCGTGAGTCGAACAATATTGCCAGCTAGTCTCGCAGGCACTTGGTTGCATGTGGCATTTGTTTATGATTTTTCCATTAAACAACAAAATATCTATCGCAATGGTTACAATGATGGACAAGCAAATTTAACTGGAACACCTGCTGCTTATGTGGGTACATCAGGTCTGGTCAATATAGGTATGGAATAGAATGTTAGAAAAATCTTTGTTCTGAATTTATTTCTGTATGGACCTATAGGTGCTTTTCAAACAAATAATCAATTCAAGGGACTTATTGATCATATGTTCGGTATGTCGGGTTGAGAATTTTTTTCTTGTTTATTGATTCTTTTCTTTGGAGTGAGCAATCGGGCTAAGAGTGCTTGTGAAATCCTGGATGATGCAACTCTAATTGCCTATTTTTCATTTGATTCTGGGAAATTTCAATCCATATAGTATATATATGGGTAAGTATCAGTTGATATGAAAGTGTTGGTACTGCTGCGTGTTTGTTTCTTTGGAAAAGGANTCAACATAATTTGAACGCCATGGTCCACAACATTCAACTGAATTACAACGAATTATTTGTAATGTATATTGTGTTTGTAAAACGTGTATAGCACACCAATATTCGTCAATATCACATTTTGGTTGTTCACCAGTTTTTTCTCTTGGTGCACCAGCATTTTCTTGATAATATTCATCCGATGCATGAACACGAAATTCCTGTCCTTCTTCTGCTTCTTCGTCAGCGCAAATTCTATTTAAAAAAATAAAAATAAAATAAATTAAATAGAAAGAAAATAAATTTTACTGTTGTAAAATTTCATCCATAACAATTTTAATATCGATTTGTCGACGTTCATCTTCTGATGTCGCTGGTGGATTAATATATTCAGCAACACATGGAAATCCATCAATAATTGATTGATTCCATGTTTCAACTAAGATTTGTCCGGCTTTACGAAAATTTAATTTTTCTAACTCAACATTTGTTGTTCCACCTGATTCATTTAAATGTGAACCAAAATGATCATGTGGTAAAATAAGACCAGCTAAATCATGAGATAATGGTGCCATACGACGTTCAACTATATTATAAGCTGATTGACCAGGACTCAAAGAAAAAAACAAAAAAAATTCAAAAATTTTTTTAATCCTTTTAACATTTAAAATAACTAAACTCACGCATGTGTAAGAACAAAAAGTGCATCTAAATTATATTTTTTAAATTTTCCAATATTCGCAACAAGTGTTTTTGGAAAACGTGGATTTTCATCAGGACCACCGTCAACAGTTACAATAAGAATTGGTTTAACTTGTCCAGTTTCATCGCGTGCTACGTCTTCAAATTCTTTTAAAGAAACAAGACGATCAAAATCTATTGCATGAGATTCAGCACTTGATAGATCATGTTTAGCTGAACGTACTGCAATATATGTTGGACCTGAATAGCCTAAATCTCCTTCTTCGGATAGAAGACATGCTGCATATACACTTGGTGTCAATTGATGTCGAGGTGCAACTGTCCAATCGTGATCTGGTAAACGTATACGATAATCCAAATGCATTAACATTGGTGCTTGAACTCTAGCCGCAGGTAAACCTAATGGAACTTTACATTTATCATCTTGAGATAAATAAAAAACACAATCATTGCCGAATACAGAAGCTAAATCTTTCATATAACGTATTGTTGCTGTAGCAAAATGACCATCTTCATGTTTTCCATGTTCATCATTTTGAGCACGACGAAGACGAACTGGAACAGTATTAACATGACGACGACCATCTATT